GAGCAGTTTGAAGACTTACTAGTTAGAATTTTATTGCTGGCAGCGTGTATATCTTTTGTAAGTATGCTAAAATTTATTTTCTTCCCCCCCCCCCCATATTCCACAGACAAACCAGAAAACAAATAGTGTCCATTTGGTGAAAACAGTTGGTGATTTAAACTGGCTTCATGTTTAAGAACAAAACAACCTAGGTATTTTTAAATTACAAATAAAACACTTGAAGCTGTTTGTGTTCATAAAATAGACGGCTGACATTTACAGTGAGAGGGAGATTGTTCCTGAATATACAGGGTCTTTTGCGGCCATGTAGTTTGTCTGCTTTCAGTATCAGAAAGGTTTTCACTGGGAGGCCCTTTCTGTTTTGGCTTCTTGCATTTGTCATCATGTTGTAAGATGGTACTAAGATGATGTTGGGCTCTCTGTAGTCTGTAAATAGAACTTACAAAAGGAATATTCCAGTTGCTTTCTCTTCCTGGTAGTGGCAAGGTGACAGTTGTCAGTGAGAAGAATGATGACGTGGTGATGGCACCACTGTTGACCAAATTTGGTCACTGACCTTTAGGGTGGTATATTTATCTAAATTGGACCCCTATCTTGAGTGATTCCTAGGTTGAGAGAACAAGGTTTAGTACCATTGGTTCTAAAGCTTAAAAAACCAAGAACCAGTGTAGCATTTCTTCTTGTTTTGTATGTGCCTGCTGGCTTGGTTGCTCTTATGGTTGCTAAGAAACTAGTGAAATGCAAAGAACTGCAGCAGAAAAAAGATGATGGAGGTGGCAAGGATATTTCTAGGTTTTTAACATTTTTTCTGTCTAATATTTTTACTATGTGTTTTCCTAAAAAATGGTCACGAATAGTACACAGATGTTCCTAACCCATCAGCATGATGAACCTTTTGTTCTTAAAGTATTTTATTCTTTAAAAAGTCATGATGGGAAGTGAAAATCACCCATTACAATATTTGGAGGTTTCATGAAGTTGACATGACTTCAAAGTTTCGTTTTTGTATGTTTGCATGCAGGCAAGACCCAGGGATTTACTGCAGTCTTACAAAAACCATAGCATAGAGGGCTATGATATGAAAGCTCAATAAAGCAGTAGGCATTTGTTTTAGTTCAGGTTAGGGAAAAGATTAATTGCATGCCTATTTTTTTTTTTAAAGTTGATAATGGGGGCTAGAGGTGACATTTTGGAGTAATTATGTACGTAAATTCTGCCATGAGACTTTAATATTTCATGTTAACCAAGGGGTGTATAAACCATTAATAATTTAGTCCTTAATCTTTTTTTTGTGGTTTTCACTGAATAAAACTGAGACTCCTTCAGCATACTAAATTACTTGCTCTGTACCTTTTGTGTATGTTTCCATGATTAATTAAAAAAAATTCCTGTTAGTAGTAAAGAGTGCTGATTTGCTAATTAAGATAAGTGACTAGAGCTGTTTGATTAACTATAGTTTCGATACATTAGCATGAGGAAAAACAAAAGATATATTTGGAGATACTTTAAGGTTAAACTTGTGCTGGTTACATAATTTTGAAATAGTCTCAGCTTTGGCTGTTAAATACTAACACCCAGTAAGGTCACCAGGGATCTTTTGAAATTAACCAGTGTGTACAAACCAAAGGTAAAATGCGTTTTTACTGAATTCTGTGTATGTACTTGAAGCAGTGTTAAAAGTGGTGCCAGTGATGTGGCAGTAAGCTGTTGATTTTCCAAGGGTCTCCTTTGGTCCTTTTTTTTTTGGAAACAGGGTCTCACTGTGCAGTTCAGGCTGACCTTGAGCTCACTTAGTAGCCCAGGCTAGTCTCAAACTTGGAACAATCCTCCTGCCTCAGCCTCCTGAATGCGTGCACCACCACGCCGGGCCTTGAGTGGTCAGTTTGATTGACCATATTAGTATGTAGATTTAATGATGCGTGTGCCCCCCACCTCCCCATACTGGAGATTGAGCCAGGGCCTTTATGCCCTGAGCTACATTGCTAAGTTGCCCGGGCTGCCTCAGCCTCCCAGAGTGCTGAGATTACAGGTATGTCCAACAGGCCCTGCTCAAGTGGGTGTTTTTGTTTTTTTTGAAACAGGGTGTCGCTGTAGTTCTGGCTGGTATTGAATTCAACGATGTAGCCCAGGCTGGCCTCGAACTCAGGCAGGTGATCCTCCAGCCTCAACCTCCAGAGCACTGGGTTTACAGTTCTGTGCCACCTTGCCTGGCTTCAAGAGGGTTTTAAAATACTAAAACAATTTTTTACAAGGTAGGAAGGACATTGCCCTTTTAGGGGGCAGTTTGTTGAGACAGGGTCTCACTGTGTAGACCAGGCTGGCTCTGAACTCACCAGGCTAACCTCGAACTAGTGGTGATCCTCCTGCCTCAGTCTGTGATTACAGGCGTGTGCCACCATACTTGGATTGACATTGCTTTTTTAGAGCTATGTTTTGTAGTTGAAATTTGAATTCCTTTTTGGTAACTTGGAATTAGTGTTCAAGAGATAAGCTGTGTTACACTTTTCTTTTATGGAATGCTAAATAGCCAGAGTAGTTGTGTTTTTTGTTTTTTGTTTTTTTGCCTTTTTGAGACAGGGTTTCGCTATGCAGTTCAGGCTGGCTTTGCGCTCACTTTGTAGCCCAGGCTGGCCTTGAACTCACAACGATCCTCCTGCCTCAGCCTCCTAAGTGCTGGGATTATAGGCATGCGCCACCACGCCCGGTACAGTAGTTGTTTAAGAAATACTTCAATTATAGAGTGATATAATTGGATTTGTTAGACCAAAAGTTTGCCGATGCAAAACCAGTTTTGATTTTCCTCATGAGGTTTGGCACTACTGCTGCATTGTACTTGACCTTTTCACTTCCTATTTATCTTTCAAAAAAAGAGCACTGAATCTTCTGTGGTAATCAGTATATTTCTTTTGGGTTTATAGAAAAAACATGGTAGAATATTGAGATTCTTTTGAGGAAAGGAATAGGGAATACTTATGTATATAATACATCAAGTCCTATTCAAGTTAAAAAAGATACTGGTGATTTATTTCAAACATGAAACTGAGTAGTAAACTTAACTGTAGCTAATATTTTGCTGTGGCAAAAAGTAGAAAACTACGTTAATATTTTTAATGCTTGTAACCTGTAGGGAAAATGAGTCATCAAGATGTTTTTGGTTGGGTTTTTTTTTTTTTTTTTTTTAGTGTGTGTGTGTATGTGTGTTTGAGACAGGGTCAGGCTGGCCTTGCGTGCACTTTGTAGCCCAGGCTAGTCTCGAACTCACAGTGATCTTCCTGCCTCAGCCTCCCGAGTGCTGGGATTACAGGTGTATGGCCATCACATCTGGCTTGTTTTTTTTAGTGCTTTGAGACAAGTCTTGCTGGGTAGTTCAGGCTGACATTGAACTTGTGGTCATACTCTTGTCTCAGCCTCCTAAATGCTGGGATTACAGGCCTGTGCTACCATACCCAGCCCAAATTTTCTTTTCTTTTTTTGATAGGGGGAAACTCAGGCCCTCACCTTTAGCAGGCATTGTGCCACAGAACTAACTCCCCCAGCCTCCCATTTTTTTTTTCTTTATCTTTTGAGACAGGGCCTCGAACTCATATCAGTCTTTCTGTTTTAGCTTCCCCAGTGCTGGGATAACAGGCATGTGCCTCCATGCCTAGCTTCAAATTTTCTTTTAGAAGGTCACTCGGATCATAAATTCATCTTCCTTTTCATACGAATATTAAAAAACAAAATTTTTTTTTTATCTTGAGCCAGGTTTCACTATGTAGTTCAGGCCGGCCTTGAACTCATGGCCACCCTCCTCCCTCAGCCTCCAAAGTGGTGGGATTACAGATGTGCACCCACTACTCCTGCAACATGGGTAATTTCTTAATTTGATATTCGGGGCTCTCATTTCACTTTTGTATTTCCATCTTCTTGAGTTAGCAGTTTTGCCCTAAATGACACATCACATGGTTAATTGGGACGCCTGCCTGCCCCTCTCTTTCATTACTGCTGCTCACCACCACACACTGAGGGTACAGCAGTAAACAAAAAGTGTATAAAGTCGCTTTCTTGGAGAACAGTGCTATTGAGAAAAATAAAGCAGAGAGGGCTCTGAACCAAGGACGTACATACAGGGAGAACCCTGAGTTTTAATTAAGGTTGCTAGGTAACTCCTTTAAGAACCTGACATTTGAGGAGATGAGCAACTGAGAGGGCCATGGCATAAGGTCCTCTCTGACAGTGTGCATGGATTCTTTACCTGCACCCCCTACTTCCAACCTAACTGGATACTTAGATTGACCCTAAAATGTTTAATTTTTTTAAAAATTTATTTATTTA